GTGTGTGTGTGTGTGTTTTCACTAAGAGTGGTGAGTTGCAGCAGAACTGTTGTGATTCATTCCACCCAGTGCTCCCTGCACAGGCCCTCTCCTCTCTCACTGGCCGTTGGTGTTTAAATATTCAAATGTTACTGGTCTGAAGCTCGAGCACGACTTCCAGCAGCTCTTAGTTTTCATAGTAGGAGCAGTGACTCACTCCGAGACTTTCAGCTGCTGCTGTCCTGCTCCTTCCATCCTCGGTAAGTTTGCTCCTTGAGATGCTGCTGAGCATCTTTATGTTCCGTCATCTCCAGGTTAAACTCTGTAGTTTGATCCTGTTTATTCATCTGATTTACGAGGCACTGAGCACTTGTGACCAGATGTAAGCAGACAGTGTTTCTTTGTGAGGCAGAGGGCTGCTGACCAAAAGCAGCCCATATAAGTCCAGGCCTTATAAGTGCAGCAGCACTGCTTCTTGACTTGACCTGCTTGGCGAGACTTTAAAGCACTTGAGCCTGCTCCTCGTTGTTTTTATAAACAGCTTGTGATGGGTCCCCTCTTATTGTTAGTGCTAAGGGGTTTTTAACAGTTTTGGTGGCTCGCCCGCAGCAAAGTAATGTTTGGCTGTATCAACAGAGGCCACCTCCAGGTCCTTATAAGGCGACTTTGTGTGGGGTCAAAGAAGACTCACCCTCAGCATCTGGTTTCTCTTCTCTCGCCTGGATTCTTCGTCCACTTGTTTCTCCTAATCTGCATTTCTGCAACTCATTGTTTGATAAACTTTTTCTTTTTCAATGCAGATTCCTCAGAGGGTGTGACCTCACAGCCTTCGGTGATGACTGAGCATGCTCCGTCATCTGCGGTGACTGTCAGCTCCTCCACCAGCATCCCCGCTGCTACCTCCACCCTGATTCCTCCCTCATCTTCGACGTCCTCATCCTCCGCGTCCACAGCCATTCCCCAGCCGAACAGCAACAGCAAGCCGTGGAGGAGCAAGTCAATGAGCTCCAAGCACTCGTCCTCCTCCTCTCTGTCGTCCACCAGTGCCCCTACATCTGCCATGCAGTCCGTCAAGCAGGAGAAAGACACCTCCTGCAAAACTGCTGCAGCAATTGAAGCTCCTCCAAAGGTCGTCGCTCAGAAGTCAATGCTGGAGAAGCTCAAGCTCTTCAACAGTAAAGGAGGCTCCAAATCTTCCACCTCCTCCAATGGAGTAGGGGCACAGACTGATAATTCTGCCCCAGCCAGACAGCTCGGAGTGGGGCAGGTGGAGAGAGTGGAGACTGGCTCCAACACCGACGTCCTGGGAGAAGATGACGGTAACGTCAGACCGGGAATGAACGGAACCAGCAATGGTACAGCTCCTGGAACAGGAACAACTGTCTCCACAACTGCCAGCAGCCCCAAAATCGCCCTGAGGGGTATTGCCCAGCGCACTTTTAGCAGAGCTTTGACTGCCAAGAAGAGCTCTGCCAAAGGCCCAGAGAAAGAAAAGGACAAGGAGAGGGGGAAGGAGAAAGAGAAGGAGAAGGACAGAGGGAAGGAGGTGGGGAAACGCGTCTCTGTCCCCGACAGGACAGAGCTCAGGGGAGAGGAGACGAAGGAGGAAGTATCGCCCGTCACTGCAGACACAGACAGCTCGAATAAAAGGACCTCTAAGATTGCCAGCTTCATTCCCAAAGGGGGTAAATTGTCAAAAAAGGAGAGTTCCACCCCTGCACACAGCGGAATACCAAAGCCAGGAGGCAAAGCCCCAGGAGTCGGGGGGAAGGCCTCTTCAGTAAAGGAGGCAGGAGAGAGGCCTCGGAGCATGCGGTTAGGAGGGGGTCTGGCCATGCACCGGGGCCCCCTGGAAAGGGACAGGGACAGGGACAGCAGACACTCCAGCTCTACCTCCAGCCTGGCCTCAACCGAGGGCAAGAGCAGCGCTGCCCCTGTGGCAGGAGGAGGCACGACACAGAGCACAGCCAGCAACACGGTCAGCGTGCAGCTACCTCAGACTCAACAGCACCACAGCCACCCCAACATGGCCACCGTCGCACCTTTCATGTACAGGTGAGATCACGCTAACTGAGCATTTCTCCTTAAAGTTTCACGCAACACTGAAACTTTTTCACTTAAAGAAGTTAGTTTGATGTTTCACTGACGGAAATGTAAAGTTAAAAAGACTTAGAAGTCATTAAAAACCAGAGTTTATCTCCAATATTCAGCAGGAAACTTTTAGAACTTTAGAAGATTTCTAAATAGAGTTTGGTGGATTTCTTACAGCAGCTCTTCTAGTTCTGGAAGCTGGGGATCATGGGTAATATCCAGCATTCAGCATTTCAGTTCAGTCAAACACAATAGACTTTATTTTTTCTCTACATAAAAGCCACTTCGTCGCACGGACATGGAACAGAATTAACCATCACTTGTGGCATAGAGCACATCGAAGCTTTTAATAAATACAAATGTGTGTATAAACCTGTACATGGAAGCATTTGTCGTTACAAACTTGACACAGCATCCAAGAGTACAACATCTGGATGTAGCCACCTGTGGACTGTTAACCAGGAATGTCACATCTGTGTTTGTTCGTGTGTGCGTGTGTGTGTTTGTGTAGTGTATTGTCTGTGTGCGCGCACAGTATGTGGACAAACATACATAGATGCCTCCGACCTCTGTCCTGGTCCCAGTGTGATAAGGAAGGAGGTTCCTCTGCCTCTCCTTTCTAACAACCCCTCATTAGCCTCCTGACACTTCCTGCACCGCTGCCCTTTCTCCCTCCGTACGCTAACCACCACCCCTCCCCCAGAACCCCCGCCCATCGTCAGGCCTCAGAAACTGTATACCTGTCACATACCATTACCAGCAGGATTATACCACCTCCACCTGTCAGAAAGTAAAATTAGGAATGTGTGATCAATGATTTTCTCTCAACTTCTAAACACTGATGAACTAGAAAAGCCAGAGAACTGGAAGGGTCTGAATCTGTGCCAGAAATAATGATTTTAAGTCAAAAGGATTGTTGGTACATTAAATAACCTTCAAAGTGTCAAGCAGTATTATGTCAGTTAACCAGCAGTTTAAAAAAAAAGTTAGAATTAGTTTTATAATTGCGTAGCGGTGCAGGAGGCTGTGGTTTGTGTGTTCAGTCGTCAGCAAGGACAAAGTCTGGGATCAGGCAAAGACCAAAGGCTGCGTTTCCTAGGCGTTTAAACGTCATCCTCTCAAAAAGCTTCCAGCGCTGCCGGGGCAACGGCCGAACTGTATTGATTTTATCCTTCAAAGATAAACTTTACTGGCATTCGGGGATTAGCAGCCGTTCATTTTGGGCCCACGGTCACAAGACCTGAAGCACAGCAGATTTAATTCTTAATCAGGTTTATCCCTCTTTCGTGACAATTTTCTGGATATTAGTTTCCTGCTAAATGCACAATAATTCAGAATCGATGATTTCACCACTTTGATCCCCTCGCACATTTTCTTTTGACCAGATCCCAAACAGACGACGAGGGAACCGCCAACACCGAGGGCGGCTCAGGAGGGAGAGGTGGAGACGTTTCCTTCACAAAGACCAGCCAGCCCTCCATCGAGGACCTTTCAGGTGGGTGATCGCTCGCAATATAGACTCTCTCCATCTGAATGGTCAATTATTCCTATCATTTCAGTGAAACTGTCTGAGACTGATTTTTTTAACGTCTCACTCAGGTGAAGATCCGGAGACGAGGCGGCTGAGAACGGTCAAAAACATTGCAGACCTGCGGCAAAACCTGGAGGAGACCATGTCCAGCCTGCGAGGAACTCAGGTCACACACAGGTACAAATACTATCATAGTTTTAACTTGTACTGAACTCGTGAAGCCAAAAATAGAATAATTTTTCTCATTGAATGTTTTTTTACACACTGAATAAAGGGATATTATCTTATTGCTCATTTATAAAGTGAAGTAAAAATAAGCTTTAAAAAAATACTGGTATTTTCTCTTCGCCTCGTCAGCACTTCTCATAAAGACTTGTATAAAACTGTGGAAAACAAACCTCTACTGTTTGGGGATCATCAAAGTGCAGCGCCTCACAATAGCTGCCACGGCTGAGCGGTAAACAGGTTAAATCAGGATAACTGACAGGATTTGAGTCGGTGACTGAACTGCCTCATGGTCAGCAGACTGTGTCCGTCTAGATTTACAGGTATTACCCCTCGATGTCATCTCATCCTCCTTTTGTTACTTTGATCGCAGGGCATGTCTTTTCATGTCGTCTTTGATTCGGGTATTAGCTCTAATCACGTTCCCTCCTGCAGACGCTTGACCTCGGCTTTGGCCTCACGTCTCTGGGCCGACCCAGCTGCTGGGGTTCATTTGAGGCTCTGTTGAAAAGTCCTGTTTTATGTTAGAACAAGGAATCTCTTATCCGTGATTTCATACTCCTTTTCGGTATTTTGTTTGCTTGAACTATTTATATTCTTTTCTATATTTATTCAATATTGTGAAAAGTAGAATAAACAGTTGATCTGGATTTGATGGCTCTAACCCTCCATCTATTGAAGATCTGTTTGTCTTCATCTCAAACTACAACTGAAGAGGTTTTAGATGAAATCACGGTGACGGTAGCTGGTTCCTGTCTTTTCTTTTGATGTGTGGTAACAGAAACAGATCCTGACTCTCTCTCTCTCTCTGTGTCCATCTCTCTCTCTGCTCAGCACCTTGGAAACCACCTTTGATGGCAGCGTCACCACAGACATCAGCAGCGGCGGCGGAAGCTGCGGTGGCAGCAACAACAGCGCCGGTGGTCGCAGCATCCTCAGCCTCACCTCTACCCGCCCCTCCCTGTCGTCATGGCGACTGGGCCAGTCCAGCCCTCGTCTGCAGGCGGGCGATGCCCCCTCTCTGGGGAATGGCTATGGTGGGCGGGTGGCTAGTAGCAGCAGCAGCAGCCAGGGAGGACGCTACCTGTACCCCGGGCACCTCCGGCGGCAGCTGGCCGGCAGAGGAGGAGCCATTTGCAGCGTGGAGCTCGGAGACAGAGCCGGGGAGGACATGGACCTGGACAGCATCGCCATGGAGGTCACCGGGTACATGAGCGATGGAGACGTGCTGAGCAAGAACGCTGCACGCACCGATGATGTCACCAGCGGGTGAGTGGATCACACTGATGGTCATTTTTAATGTTAGGAGGAAATTGCTACTGAAACAATAACCAATAAATCAAAAAGTAATTTGGCAGCTAGAGGTGTTGGGAAAATGTGACAGGCATTTTACACAATTTTCTTATTTTATAGAACATATTCAAATAAAAAGTTAGGTTAGCAGGGTCACACAGCATGATTCACACAGGATTCTATATCCATGCATAATCTGCAAAATAAATCAGTGCCATCTTGCCAGAAGAGGGCAGTAGTGCCTTGCTCGCAGGCCTGCCATCAGGTGTCAGATGATCTCCCTCAGTTTAGCATCAACAGCATTGGCAACTTTTTACTCTGTAAAGCTCAGGTCCCACAAGTATCCTGATACTTTACTTGCAGATGCAGATGGTAACCAGTGTATTTGCTCTCAGAGCCACTGTCCGTGTTGTAACAGGCCTCCTGCATACCTTGGCTGGAGCACTGTGCAATTTTAAACTCCTGCTGTCATTGTTATTATCAGATGAAGCCTTAAGATGGCATAGAACATCCAGAGACACACGGATCTGGTGATAGATGCTAGTAAATGTAGAAAAGGTTCTGTGTTGTCAGCAAAACACATCTCGCTCTCTCTGGAGTGAGAATTACTTCCTCTGACCCTGAAGCACTCGCACTGATTCAGCAGCCCTGAGGCGGCTGTACGAGTCAGGGGAGCTAAGTGTTCTTGAAGCACTCAAAGGGTCTGACTCTAAGGCAGAGCCACAGACACACCTGGACAGGTGAGTGATGGGAACAGGTGAAAACTTGATATCCAGGCTGGGTAGGAGGAGGAAGTCAAGATGATTTGATATCAGATCAGCAGATATCAGCTGTTAAAGGTCAACTTTAAGTTTAGATTTTACAAGAAGTTGTGAAAAATGCCAATCCCAGTTTACCAGAGCTCAAGGTAACATCTTTAAATTCTTCAAACTCAAAGGATATTTACTTTCCACTGGTACGATGCAAAGAAAATTAGCAAATCCTGAAATCTGAGAAGCTCAAACCTCCATAACGTTAATCATTCTTAGTTTTTAGAGAACGCCAATTTTTTTCTGTTGGGCACTACTGCCCGCTCTATCGTATTTTTTGTCAAATCTGACACAGAGTGAAGAGATACTGGCATTTTGCACTAGATGTGAGTGGTTTAAATTGAGGATGGATGACACCTAGAGATGGAAACTGCATTGTCATCTGTTGTG